TTTATAATTTCAAATAGCAGATACACACGTAGTGGTCGATGTATACTACATCACTCAAAATCTCACATCGAAAATTGTGCTGAATCTTAGTCACGACGGTTAATATCGACCCTGTATACCTTCGCCCTAGTTCTATCGAAAGCCTCCTGTGCATTCATTGACCTGTACATCTATCAAAATAAATTGCTTATATACTGGAATTAATGTTGTATATTATCTACTCGTGCAGAACCGATGCATACAAATAAAGTATTACATGCTAACACGAGTGAGCATCCCACAAGGATACAAAAGGTGTACTTTTTACACAACGACATTCCCTCCCTCACATTTATAAATACAAAATAACAACCTGTCACATAGGAGAGCAGTGATGTAAATGATAGTGGATAACCCTGTGACCCTGCAAATTGTACGTTTGTGAAGTTTGGACCTAATTTTAATGTGGACCTACTGTTTTTAATCCCATTTATCATTTGCATCATAGCACCTCTAGACCAGTCCCGAAGAAGCCCAAAACATATATTGATACGGTGACCAGTTGACCCCATAAACACTTAAATTGGCGCCAAAAAACTTCAAAAATACATTTTTTTATAGAAACTGTCCTAATTCCTTTAACTCGTGACTGAGTACAATATGACGGTAATCTGTCGCATCTTCGATCAGCGGTGTGGGGACAGCAGGTGCAGTTACTGCAGAACATAATCTTAAATAATGAATATTTAAGATATACGCATTCACGATACAATAGCTCGCATGAAGGAAATGTGCATATAACTACTTGTAGACTTAGCACCACATAACTGAGTTTAGGCTTACACGCAAGTTCACACGACTCGCTTATAGTAATGACTTTGTTTGGTAGCCGTGTCTTTGCACGTATACGGTCGACCGAGTTTGATTTATGTAAAGACAGTAAGAAGTTCTATGGCTAGGAGCAGAGACAGGCTATAGTTTAATATAAGGTCTGATACACATTGTGAGGTGTAGCTTGGAACAAGAGAGACATACAAGCGTAGTCTATAAATAATTTTCCGTCTTGAAAGATATAAAAAGGCATACAAGTATTTTTGTTACATACACGTATGCATGTATGCGAATTGTCTATAGGTACAGATGGTCTCAAGTGTAGTTTCGCTTGCTATATAATCAGTCAGTGTTGCGCTGCTTGTGCAGAAATAGAGGCGCAAGTGTTGCTACTTGGCTTGCATATATGCATAAGCTCTCAGCAAAAGTGAATACTATCCACTCTGTGTACACATATAAAGCATATACACGCCGTGTATTTGCAAACTTACACACGTTAGCGTCAGCTCTTGTACACACCTCTCATATACACTTATAAGCAATCAGCAAAGAGGTCGTACTCATACTCACGCGCGTAGATTTTATATAAAGGCGAGCGTTTAATTACATACATACACGCATTCATTCTCAGGTACCACCGTACGTGCTCGTTCACATACACACACAAACCAAATATACATCGACATCCACGTTGACAAAATGGAGAACTTCGAGATCACCGACTATGACATCGACAACGAATTCAACACCCAACGCAGGCGTAAACGCCCGCGTAAGGAAGAGCAGATATATGGTATCTGGGCTGAGGAATCGGGATCGGACGACGGGAATGGTCCCGAAAATGAGGCAAACGCACACCCTGGATTGGGGCTGAAAAGGGGTCAAAGTGGTGCGACTGATGTTACGTTTGTGGGGGAAAGTAATGATAAAGCTGGTAAGAAAGTAGTGGAGACTAATACCTTTGGCGACAGGGTGTTGTATGGCGAGGACGAGAGCGGGGATGTGAAGATGGCAGACGTTATTCCGTCAGGTGTGGGAATAGGCTTTGGGGGTGGGAGCTGGAATGCCAGCGGTAGCAACGTGCCCGCGCAGTTGCCTTTTAAAGTATCGAGCGATCCATTCCAGACAGATACAAGCAAGAACGTGTTCGGTAAGAAGACACTACGCGCACAACAGGAACGGACACAAGCTGTGGGCAATGGGAGTGAAGGTGGTGGCACTGGCACAGGGGCCTCAGCGCAGAAAGCTGACGCTGGCGCAGGTATGGGCACGGGTGAGGTTGTGTGTGCTGCAGTATATGGGCATGAACGCTTGGTTTTGTATTTTTGTATTGATCTGTGGGTGTGCGTGATGTGTGTTTGCCAGTAAATACATACGCCGGTACGTACGCAGAGATATTCCTGATGTGTTTTCAACTTTGTGAATGTTTATGGAAGCACAAATAGTACCTATAATTTTATGTTTTCAGAAAAGGTTGGGGCATATAGTCTTCAAATACGGCCTGAGGTGAATTTATATATAAGAATACATGCACTTAGATATGCGCGTATAATAACATACATAGTCAACGACACGGACGTACAAATACTAGGCAAGAGCAACAATATACTTCACATATTCATATTCATAGATTCATCATCACATGCTCTCCGCAATCTCAAGCGGTGCGACCGGTATTCCCAGGTAAAAAGCTAGAAACCCCAGCTCTACATTACTGGATGAATTGGGGTGCAGTGTACGTATGCACACATACACAACAGTGCAAGTACACACTCTGGCACTGATGTTTACATACGAACATATAGTTATCAACTTGCGTACATACATATTCTTGCTTACAACCTACAGCGGACATACTCCGCAAGCCCAAGCGCGTTGACCAGGATTTCGGCAACTGGGAGAGGCACACCAAAGGTATCGGAGCCAAACTGCTCGAGAAAATGGGCTGGAGCAAGGGCATGGGTGTAGGTAAAAGTAAGGAAGGAATAGTCAACCCGGTGGAGGCAGCTATCCGTTTGGCGAAGAAAGGCGGTGTGGGATTTGGCGGGGATGAACGTACAAAACAAGCGAGGGAAGAGCGTGAGGAGAGCGATGCGGCGAAGGTATGGTTGGGTATGGTTCTCTGTATAGTGAGAAGGATATACCTACGGACATAGTCTTTATATGGTAGGGTTTAGGGTTTATAGTCAAAATTTACGTATCTTTAATCGCTTGCCCGCTATTGCTAGGGTTGTAGTATGGTATGTGCGTACATATGCTATTGTGTACAATCTATACACAAGGCTAGGTACGATGGTGTGGGAGTTGTTGGGTTATGAACGTATCATGTAAGCGAGAGTCGAGTGTGAGGGAAGCGATGTAGCTAAATTATTGTGGCGTTTGAGACTGTTTATGCGCGTTTTTGTGGTTTTACATAGCTACATACATGTGTATAGGCATGTGCGTGGTTTACATGTACCTTTGCTGTAGAGATTTGATTTCATTTGAAAGATTCTCTGCGGGGTCTATACAACATCTCTGGAATATGCAGAGATGATTTCTGCTGACTAATGCTAGTGCTTGTAAGTGTATATACACAGGTGTTTGGTGTGTCAGTCTATTGGTGTTGTTTCCGTATAAGTCTATGGCTCTGAACTTTCGACAAGAGTCCATGAGCTAGAATCATCTTATTTATTTATTTATTTTGTGATTTTGGAACTTCTTATTAAGTAGTACACGTTAATCAGGAACTGATACTGAGATCAAAACTCGAATTGCCTCAAATTCACATGGCCCAAGGGCGTGCGACAGCTCTGTATTGAACTGCAGGAATAACAATGGAAATTGTGCTTTCATTTAATTTACTATTATTAGTATTCCTGGATTTTTATCTGACTGGACAGGGTGTGATAGATGAGGAAGCCGAAATGCGATCACAACTCAGACTGTGGAAGAAAGGTATTGATCCCAAAAGCGTACAGATGCATGAAAGAGAGGCACGGTTGAGAAATAAGAAGCCAAAGGCCCAGTACGCATTCTCTGGAGTTTCAAGGTGAGGTTTGGGTAGGCTGAAGGTCTCGTGATGAATGTCTAACTTTGTATGTAGTCGAATTATAGATGTACGTATAGGCTGGTCCGTATCAATCAATTGTGTGACGCACGTGCCACGACACACGGTTGGCATCCTTTAAATTAAATGTTTATAAATAGTTGATCAACAGACTGGCTGTTTCTAATAGTAGAACGGGACTGACTAAACGATATGTTTGTTGTTTTTTAAAATAGAATTGGACAGAACCAGGCCGCTGCGGCGCGGCCCACGAGCAAAGTGATCGATATGACTGGCAGACAAACCAAAGTACACGCCAACTACCAGGAGGCAATGCTCAGAAGCACCGGAGGTCCCAGGAAACCAGAGGTATGTGGAGTGAATGCACAGGGTTTTATTTGGTTATGTTGTAGTTATGTTTTAAAAGTACGTTCGGACTGAGATTTGTGATTCATTCGTGTATATGTATATCTGGTGCGTATGTATGATTTGCTCGTATTCGATGACATGTAATTATGAAACAGCTATTCCGATTTTTATGTATGTGTACTAAGCGTATCGGCAAGTGTATTTGTGTATGTACTTGAATAGGCATACGTATATATATTCACAATCTATTGGTGACCACATATGTTTGTACAAAGATATTTTTAGTATCCATCGAGTTTAATTCTGTATGCATATGAATATAGCGCGTCAATTCACAGTAATGAAATGACAACATTCGTATTTAAACGCTATAGTATGATTTTCGGTCAATCACGGGTAAAGTGACATTTTTGTGGATACATCCCTGATTCTACCCATCTACATATACATGTATGTAAACATTCTATCTTCTAAGCAAATGATTCTTTTGAGATGTCATAATCTTTAAATGCACAAATATTGAGCTTATACTTATCGAATCCGCTTATATCGGCTCAATGACGGTTAAAAATTCAACATCAGTTCCTCGTGCATCTCGGATTTATATCCAGTACTATCCGAGTTGCCAGACAGCATATGTATGGACATCAAATATACTATATATATATGTGTGTGTATGTATGAATGTATGTATATATGTATATATGCATGTATATAAATGTATAAATATATTTACATATATATATATATATATATATATATATATATATGCTCTCTATGCGTACTTCTGGTGTAAATTGTGATCTTCTTCTTACACAGCTAAAGGATGGTCAAGAATCCGAAGGGCAGTCTCTGGGAGCCTTCTCCGCCAACTACGGATCGGGGGTGACAGGGTTAGATGCAGCACTACCCGAGTTACAGCACAACGTACAGTTACTTTGTGACTTTGCAGAGGGTGAGGTACAGTCCACCGCACAGGAGATGGAAGGTGTGGAAGATAACAAGATGCTTCTGGCTAACGAGGCCAAGAAGCTAGAGAAGACGGTATGAAGTGTTCATATTCTAGGATACGCTTTTGCATTGTATAGATGTACGGGGATTGGCGTACCGCGAATTTGCGTGTACGGTCGGTTCGTACTGGAATGACGGTATCGCTACGTAACTGTCGCAGTTTTAAGTAACGCGATGTTGTGCACTTTTTTCAATAATGGCTTCTTGACTGTGTAGAACGAGCACTCTATCGTAACGAATTTGTCCATTCAAGTACTTATGAGAGCGTATGATGTCCCTTCCGTTTTTATAGGTCGCCACGCAGAAAGCACAACTGGAGTCGCTTGAATCAATCCTTGCCACCATGCGGGATGTCCAGCGAAGGCAGAACCATGAAAGTGAAGGTATAGATATATAGCAAGATATGCAGTGTATTTGTTTGTGTCTATTTGTAGCATTCAGATTGTTTGGTCCATGACTTACATCAAACAAAATGGTTTATAAATGCATACCTTCACAGCCGTTTGATCTATATCCATATGTATGTGCGCATATGTATTTTCTGATTGATCTTCAACTTTTCTCACTGTGATTGCGCAATCAATTGTCGGGATTTTCTGGTCTCACCATTGTCGTTTGCATATAGAAGTGCATCTACAGCTCTGTTCATAACCTGTTTTCTGTATTCTCTGGGGTTTTTTTTCTTCAAATTTCACTCGATTTGACCCGAATTCCAAATTCTTCACCACCACAGCCCCTCTGGACATTGATGAGGCAAAGGACATGTTCATGCACATCCAGTCACAGCACAACGAAGCATTTGAATTGTACCAACTGGCTTACTTGGCAGTGGGTATTGTGTTCCCACTGGTAGAGGCACACCTAAAAGAATGGGTGCCGCTCCGAACTCCAAGGTATGGCAAAATATCTCATGCAACTTAAGTGGTGCTGATTAATATACATGTTAAGGCTACTGTGGCGGTGACAATTGGAGGGGGGGGGTGTTATGTATCTATCATATCATTTAAGTGACATTCACATTGCACGATACAGGTACGGTGTGGATCTGTTCCGCCTGTGGAAAGACGTGCTGACGGATCGCTCAAACGAAAATGACAATCATAAGGTAGCAACTGCGGACAGGTACTTGCTTGCTTGCATCACATACTTGTGTCATAGATATTCAGTATTTCTGTATTCTGCAATGCCAATACAATGCGTGTGTGGGAGGTGGACGTGTTGGACGTACAGAATGTGAATGTATACCTGTATCATATACAAGTGAGCATGTATGCGTTTGTGGGTTCGAACGTGCATGTCAAGATGTGTATACATGTGCATTGTATTCAAATATGTTCGCGTAAATGTGATTCTGTGCAGACATGCATGCGTCCGTATCTGTGTATGTCTGTGCCTGTGTTCTCTTTGTCTCTGTGTATCTGTGAATCTGTGCGAGTGTGAGAGGTGTGTATGTTCAGAGTTACATGTATATGCGTGTGAAGAAATCTGTATTTGAACATTTCTTGATGTACGCTCAAGAGTTTAAGTGAAGCATTGATGTATGCCCAAGAGTTTAAGCGAAGCATTGGTGTACGTTCAAGAGTATCAGTCATCTCACGCGTGAACGAATATTTGTGCGCAGTATCTGCTTTCAGTGTGATAAACTGTGCATCTATTCTATTTGTCTATTCCTCGAAAGTATTTGTTTGCAAACCCGCTTGCCTGGGTATCGGGATTGATCTGTACCTACGTAGTGGAGATAGATTGCGCTGGTGCTGGTGTCCAGCTCGAGTGTTTGAGGGCATCGTCACTTCTAACATCCCGTAGCTAGACACACTCTTATCATCTTATTTGAGGCATGTACCAAGTGTGTCAACATGACTGGTAGACGATTGGTTCATTCTATCGAGTTTATACACCTCAATATACAATACGTGTAAATGAACGTATCCAACCTCATCGACAAACTTGGACATGTGTATAGTAAAGTTCGTATATTGTATAGCTTGCAGATATATAACACTCATATTTGTATATAAGCGGGCTTTCGTCCCAGTCGCCGAATCCAATATGTTTCCTACAATAAGTGCTGGCAATTGCCATTTGATATTAATCGAAATTCGGGGTTAATTTGTCGTATTACGCTCATATTAAATCTTTCGAACCCCTGGGTGTATTCAACAGAGAAATGGATGTGTACGAACGTTTGCTGTGGTTAATCTGGATGCCGCATATCCGCCGAGGTTTGATGTAAGTGAACATCTTCTGCTCGTTACACTTATACTGTCTTATTATACTTATGGTTGTTTTATTTAGTTTGTTCTGGTCTGTATTTATAACGGTGTGTTTCCCATAGTGACTGTGGTGTATACTAAGTACAGTTGTCACATCGGAGTATTCGATTTTAAAAACTATATTGCGTCGAGTATTCGAATGTATATCATTTCGTTGTAGTTCATGCTCTCGCATACAGGTACGCTGCAGAAATGACCTCAATTGGCACTTTCTATTTCTATGTCTGGGTTTCGCCGCTGCGTGCGGTCGTTTGGCCTAATACGTACTATATGTCAAGACAGTGACGCGCGATTGGTCTAAACCCTTTATATGGCCTTTCTGTGGTGTGTATGCCATTTGCTTGTACTGCGTTCGGTTCGAGATATGCTTGACACGAGTCTTACCCGCCTGTCCGTTGTTGTTCGTTGAGTACGAGTGTAGAAATATCTTTAGCCTAAAACAAGAGGTTCGAGTTCGGGTTTCGGGACACAGCCCAGTGGCAAGGTCATCTGCTTCTACTGTTTTGTCCATAAATTATGTATATGCTTGGTCTAAATCAATAGTGTTTGTTTATGAATAGGGTCACTCACGGACTAAAATAATAATAAGCTTGAAGTTTTTTTATCATGTTCGTGATAAATGAAAATTTGAATTGCTACAATCAAAACTAAATCTACTGAGATAGAAATGTATATATATACATATATAAATATATGTATATATATGTATTTATATGTATGTATATGTATATATATATATATATATATAGACATTCATACAGATACATATATGTGACTCTCAGCTACTCATTGCATTCGTTTTCTCACAGGTATTGGGATCCTGTTGAACAGAGCTATACAGCGCTGACATTAGTGGAAACATGGAAGCCTGTATTACCTGATTGGGTGTACTATAACATCATTGAGCAGCTGATTTACCCAAAGATCAACAAATGTGTCGCTGAGTGGAATCCACAGGTGTGTCAGCAGAACGCGTACGTAGAGGTGCATATAATATGTATGTATATGTATATGTATATGTATATATATATATATATATATATATATATATATATATATTATATATATATATATATATATATATATATATATATATATATATATATATATATATATATATATA